GAGGAGGAGGAGGAGGAGGAGGAGGAGGGGGAGGAGCACTGGGTCCCCCTCCTGGCCTTTCGCCCAAAGGAGGTGGAGGAGGGGGAGGAGGAGGAAGAGGAGGAGGAGGAGGAGGAGGAGGAGGTCTCTTCGCCTGGAGGACCGTGGTGAAGAGCACCGAGTTACAGAACCTGACTACGCTGAGTGGCTCTTTGCTGAGATTGGGGACGGGAGTCGTGCTTTGGTGAAGGGCCCATCGATGGCCATGTGCAGATTCCACAGCATCGTGGATGCGTTGCGACACTTGTTGCCGATCTGGCACACTCGACTGCTGATATGGCTCTACATCGGCTTGGCCCTTGGCTACATTAAGAGCATTGGCGACTGCGTCGGCACCTCTGTGGACCCGCTGGACACGACCGAGCCGACGGATGGCCAGACCAAGGACGGCATGAAGGCCAAGCACAAGGAGGACCTCGCCAAGGCCAGGAGCTCCGCGAAGAACTCCATCCACTTCGCGACCAGCATCCTGCTCAACGCCGATTGGCACCGCAAGGCTATACAAGGAGGAGGAGGAGGAGGAGGAGGAGGAGGAGGGAGGAGGAGGAGGAGGGGAGGAGGAGGAGGGAGGAGGACGAGGAGGAGGAGGAGGAGGATGGAGGAGGAGGAGGAGGAGGAGAGGGAGGAGGAGGAGGAGGAGGAGGAGGAGGAGGAGGAGTAGGAGGATGAGGAAGAGTTGTACCAACACACCTGGGGGCCCAGTTGCACCAACCACCTGGGGGCCCAGTTGTACCAAAACAGCTGGGTGCCAAGCTGTACCAAAAAAGTGGGGACCCAGTTGTACCAAAACACCTGGGGGGGCAGTTGTACCAACCACATGGGGGCCCATTTGTACCAAACACCTGGGGGCCCAGCTGTACCAAACCAGCTGGGGGCCGAGCTGTGCAACACAGCTGGGGGCCCAGTTGTACCAACACACCTGGGGGGGCAGTTGTACCAACCACCTGGGGGGCCCATGTGTACCAAAACGCCTGGGGTGCCCAGCCTTCTTCCCTCAACCGACCTGGTGTGTTTCCAAAGGCCTCAGGCCATATAGACTCATTGGGCCACTGTGCCCTTAGGGTAGTGCCTCCGGGAAGCTGGGCCCACTAACGGTGTTAAGACGCCCCTAAGCCATATCACTTCAAGCTCCTCCTCCTCCATCCTCCTCCTCCTCCTCCTCCTCCCTCCTCCTCCTCCTCCTCCTCCCTCCTCCTCCTCCTCCTCCTCCTCCACCGCCTCCTCCTCCTCCTCCTACCCCCCTCCTCCTCCTCCTCATTCCTCATTCCTCATTCCTCATTCTTCCTCCTCCTCCTCCTCCTCCTCCTCCTCCTCCCCCTCCCCCTCCTCCCCCTCCTCCCCAAGGCCGAGCCTGTCGCCCAGAGGGAGCGCGGCTGAGGCTGTTGCCCCGCCCGCCGCGTCGTGCCCCAGGGCATTCTCTCCTGGGCCCCCTCCAGAGGAGCAGGAGAAGCAGGAGGAGCAGGAGGAGGGGGGGGGGGAGGAGGAGGGAGGAGGAGGGAGGAGGAGGAGGACGAGGAGGGGGAGCAAGAAGAGGAGGAGGAAGAGGAGGAGGAGGATGAGGAATCTGAAGCGTAATGTCCGAGCGCACTGAGCGTAGGTGTGCACATTCCTGGAGCTCGTGAATTCCATGGGGCTGGCGCAGGGCACCCAAGCGAATCAGAACAAGAATGCAGATGAGTCTCTCAAGTACGCAATCGGCATGGCCAACGGAGACGGACTCAACACGATCACAAGGTTGTTCAACTCTTTCAATGCACACGGCTTGTCCAACATGGGGTTTTACCTCGCCCGATCTGAGGTTGCCCCCGTTCGCGTTCATGGGTCCATGTTCGAGGTTGCGCTGATCAACGAGACGGAGCACCTGGCGAAAGCCATGCGCCTTGCTTTCTGCCTGGCGGGCCGCCGAGCCCTTGGGTTGGAAGCGTGGCACACAGCTTTTCCTGGTCACGCGGCTGCGCTGCTCAGCCCCGATGCTGGCACGCGCGAGAAGTCATTGCGATACTGGAAGGGTGTTGCAGACGATTGGAAGCAGATTCTGGAGACGAAGTTTCCAACAGCTATGCCCCTTATCAAGCGCAATTTCTGCAATGCGCCGATCTTCCACGACTTTATTGAACAGTTGACGAGCACAAATTTCCAAGCGTTGACAACCAGTTTGGATCAGAATCTCCGCGTTGGGTTTAGCATCACGCAGACCCTCGTGGTCGAGAATTTCTTCAAAGCAACGAGAACGGCCGAGAGCCGATGCCAGGACAACAAACAGCTTAGTTGGTTGCGGCGTTGGATCACGCCGATACAAAGGAAGATCGACACATCGGCGTTTCAATACACCTCTGTGGATTTCCGTGCGCAGGTTCTACAGGGCAGCCAGCTTGCTGCCAAAAGCTTGCCCCGTTCTTTCTTCGTGCCCAAGAAATCGAATTTGTCAGTTGATTATAACGCGATGGTGTCAGAAAAGAAAACAGCGCCCTTTACGACGTGGAACGCCCAGTCCCAGAAGTTCCAGATCCCCGACTTAGCCGTGCCCCGCCACTGTGCTGTAAAGAACTGTTGGGGCGACCTCCACCTCTTCTGGATGTCCCAGGGGTGCCTCCCGATGACGGTCTTCAAAGACACAGTTGCCGATGAATGGGTGATTTCATTGAGCACCCATGCGCAATCTGCAGTGTTGGCGGTGCCTGTCCAGCAGATGGTGTTTAACGGAGTCACGTATTTTACGCTGCCATACAAACTAACGACAGACAACCTGAAGTGGGTGATTGTATTGGACCTGGACTCGCTGGGTTATGAGGTGGAATGGGTTGGCCCTTTGTACCGCGAGAAGCACAAGTTGCCCGACAACTTCCCCCTGATGTGCGGCAAGGCCGATGGCGACCCCAAGTCATTGTGCGAGATCCTCGCTCTCAACTGCTTCGGTAACTTGAAAATAACGTGGTTGCGAAAGTTCGCCTCGCACTTTAAGTTGGAGACGCCTCGCACCGCCAGCCTCTGGGACACGCTACTGGACCTGATGAAGTTTGTCTTGCCAACGGCCACGGATGATGATCTGTTGGCGATCATGTCCAAGAGATTGCCACCCGATACGGATTCAGCCATCGACTGGGACGCTTGCGCAGTGGACGACGTCATTGAAACTGGAGACTTGGATGAAGTCAACAAGGCATCCGAGAGGGAGAAGAAACACAAGGATGCCACTGCGACATACCAGGTGGCGTTCAAGACGCTGCACGCGGCAGTGTTACAGAAGAGAGCGACGGCTGCCGCGCAGGAGAAGAAAGCGGAGCCGAAGGCATCCAAGAGAGCGTCCAAGAGAGCGAGAGTGACTGCGGCATCGGCTTCGGCTTCGTCATCCTCTCGTGCCGATCGCAAGCCCATGCCGCCCTTGGCTGTGGAGCACCTCACCTTGGAGCATGCGCGCGAGTGGCTTCCAGACCAGAACTTCACGCTGTACAAAGACTTCCCGAACGGCCGCTGGCTCTTGACTGAGGGCAGGTGCCCTTGATCCGCTGGGGATGTTGAAGAGGATGAGGAAGATGAGGAGCGGGATGGAGGATGGGACGGAGGGCGGGCTGCTCGAGGAAAAATGGTTATGGGGAGGCGGCAAGGAGGAGGAGGGGGCGGAGGAGGGGGAGGAGGAGAAGGAGGAGGGGAACCTGGTAAGGGAGGAGATAACAAGGGAGGAGTTGTCCGGTGAGAAGGAGTATAGGACGAGTGGGGTTTTGGGGAGAGCGAGGAGGAGGGCAGGAAAAGGACCCTGCAGGAGGGATGCCGTACGACCAACTTCTTCCACAAGGACATAGAATAGGGAGGAGGAGGAGGAGGAGGAGAAGGAGGAGGATGAGGAGGAGGAGGAGGAGGAGGACGAGGAGGCGGAGGAGGAGGAGAAGAGGGATGAGGAGCAGGAGGAGGGGGCTGATACTAATCGTATGTTTTAGTTTGTTTGTTTGGTTTGGTGGTTGGGCGTGTTTGTTGTGGGAAGGGGAGGGGGAAGAAACAGAGGAGGCAGATGAGGAGGAAGATCCGTGTGGACATGTGCGTGTGCGTGTGTGTGTGTGTGTGTGTGTGTGTGTGTGTGTATGCTGGGGACGCCTGTCGAGCCGTCTTGGGGGTCTCTTGAACCGTCCAGGGGTCGTCTTGGGCATCTAGGAGCGATCGGTCGGTGAATAGAGACCGTAGTGGGCCGTCTTGGAGGCCCCTTGGGGCCCTCTGGGCCGTCTTGGACCTTCTGGGGCCCTGGAGGCCGTCTGGGGCCGTCTTGAGGCTCTCTTGAGTCTCTCTTGGGGCCCTCTTGGGAACCTCGAGGCCGTCTTGAGCCGTCTTGGGCTGTCTTGGAGGCTTCTTGGAGGCTCAGGGGGGCGCATCCACTCGGCCCAGGACAAACCACGGGGCCCCCAAGAGGCTCCACTGCCCCAGAAGGCCCAGGACCCAAGGCTGCCCAAGCGGCCCCCCGCAAGCGCCCCACGACGGCACACTATGGCCCCAAGACGGTCCCATAGGCGCACAAGACGACCCAAAACAGACCCAAGATGACCCCAAGAGGGGCCCAAGAGGGGGGCCGCGAACCAAAAGACCGAGCCGTCCGCCCCAGGAGGCTACTAGGGGTGGTGGGGGGGGGGGGGAGGAAACCCCCAAGAAGCTCCAAACGGCACCCAAGAATCCCTCAAGAGGTCCAAGACGCCTCAATAAGCTCAAACGGCGCCCCCCAAGAGGCCCTACAACGGCCCCCAAGAGGCTTCGCAGGAGGCCCCCGATCAACATCCCACGAGATCCCAACGCACACACGAGCTGCTTCTGACCCACAACCAGGGCACGGTGGCAGGGTGGACCGAAGGCCACTACATAGATTACCCTCCTCCTCCTCCTACTCCTCCTCCACCCTTCTCACTCCTCCTGGTCATTCCCCCCTTGCACTCTAGAGTTAGAGCTCTGTCTCCTTCTTCTCCTCCCCCTTTTCCCTCCTCCTCCTCCCCTCTCCTGCTCCTCCTCCTCCCTCCTCCTCCTCCCCGCCTCCTCTTCCCCTGTTCCTTCCTATCCCCTCCTATCCTCTTCCTTCCTCTTCCCCCCTCCTCCTCTTCCTCCCCTCCTTCTCCTCCTGCAAATAAGAGTTGCCAACTTGACACCGCTACTCCCCCCCCTCCGCCTCCTCCTCTACTCCTCTCCCCTTTCCTCCTCCTCCTCCTTCCTGCCTCCTCTCCTCCTCCTCCTCCTCCGCCTCCTCCTCCTCCTCCTCCTCCTCCTCCTCCTCCTCCTCCCTCTCCTCCTCATGCTTCCCCTTCTCCTCTTCCTCACCCCACTGGGGGGGGTGGAGGACGATGGTGGTGCCCCGCCTGCGAGGTATTTCAGGGTTTCGCGGTCGTTCCTCAAGCACGGCGAGGTGGGGGCCTTCGCCACCTGCGCGAAGAAGGCCTACGAGCACCGCAAGCTGCCAGTGCCTGCGAGCATTGGGTCGCTCGCCACCGAGTAGGGTGTGCTCGTCGCCACGAGTGTGGCGCGAACGTAACGATATGAAGAGGGGAAATGGAGATGCAAGCGGAGGAGGAGGAGGAGGAGGAGGAGGAGGATGAGGAGGAGGAGGAGGAGGGAGGAGGGATGAGGAGGAGGAGGAAGGGAGGGGAGGAGGAGGAGGAGGAGGAGGAGGGAGGGAGGAGGCAGGAGGAGGAAGGGAGGAAGGGAGGAGGAGGGGAGGAGGAGGAGGAGGAGGCGGAGGAGCGGGAAGAGGATGAGGAGGAGGATGGAGGAAGAGGAGGAGGAGGAGGTGGAGGAGGAGCACGAGGATGAGGAGGAGAGGGGGAGCACGAATACAAGGAGGATGAGGCACTGGAGGAGGAGGAGGAGGAGGAGGAGGAGGAGGAGGAGGAGGAGAAGTAGGGCAAGGGACATGGGGGAGGAGGGGGAGGGATGCGGAGGATGACAGGGAGGATGAGGAGGAGGATGAGGCGGAGGAGGAGGAGGAGGAGGAGGAGGAGGAGGACGATGATGAAGAGGAGGATGAGGAGGATGAGGTGGAGGAGGGAGGAGGAGGAGGAGGAGGAGGACGACGAGGAGGAGGAGGACGACGACGAGGAGGACGAGGAGGACGAGGAGGACGAGGGAGATGCTGAGGTGGAGCGGGCAGGCAGAGGAGGACGATGAGGGGGAGGAGGAAGATGAGGGGTTCGGGTGAAGAATGTGAACTCTCGTTCACGCTCGTCTGCTGTTTCACTGGCGTCGGCGGTTCGGCCGATGCGTGGATTGTCGAGGCTGACGCCTCGCTGTGCGCAGGGGGCGTTCCCCCTGCGGCTTCGCCGTGGAAACCACATATCGCATTGCGTAACCGTGATGTGGCGCAGATCAGTGCGATGCTGCCGAGGAGAAGCGGCGTCGTCGTCGTCGGCGGCGGCGTCGTCGTCGGCGTCGACGTCGTCGTCGTCGTCGTCGGTGTCGTCGTCGTCGAGGTCCTGGGTCTTTGGACGCGCTTCGCTCTTTTCAAGCCCATGGCGGGGCGTCGTCTCGTCGCCACTGCTATCCACGGCTGGATTCACCTCGAAATTCTGGACAGAACGCGCCCTTGGACAACTCTGGCCCTCGATGTTTGACCCAGGCGATCGAGCACGCAGAGCGTGACTAGACGGGCAGTGGCAGCGTCTGCGCATGGAGGAAGGAGAGAACGAGGTTGGGGGGAGGATAGGGGGGGAATGCAGACAGAGAAGGAGCGAGGGGGGGGGGGGATACTGAGGAGGATGAGGGGGATGAGGAAGAGGAGGAGGATGAGGAAGACGAGGAGAAGAAATAGGCGGAGGACGATACGGAAGATGGCGACGACGGTGACGAGAGGACCGCGAGGAGGATGACGAGAAGGGGTGATGGTGGTTTTGATGTTGATGATGACGATGATGCTGATGATGCTGATGACGATGTTGATGATGATGATGCTGCTGATGATGATGATGATGATGCGGATGAGAACGATGATGTAACATCAATGGCAATGGTACTGATATGCACGAGGGCGACAATGGGGATGAGAAGGATGGGGGGATGATGAGGATGAGGATGAGGATGATGAGGAGGAGGAGGCGGAGGAGGAGGAGGAGGAGGAGGAGTGAGGTGGGGGGGGGGGGAGGGGGGAGGAGGAGGAGGGGGATGAGGAGGAGGGAGAGAAGGAAGAGGAGGGGGAGTAGTAGGAGGAGCCAGGAGGATGAGGTGTTGTAATGATGGGAGGATGGGAATGAGGATGGTGGAGGAGGAGGATGCGAGGAGGAGGAGGAAGGAGGAGGAGGAGGGGAATGGGCAGAAGGAAGGAGGAGGAGGAGGAGGAGGGAGGAGGAGGAGGGGAGGAGGAGGAGGGGAGGAGGAGGAGGAGGAGGAGGAGGAGGAGGGGAGGAGGAGGAGGAGGAGGAGGATGAGGTATGAGGAAATGAGGAGGAGGAGGAGGAGAGGCAGGCGGAGGAGGAGGAGGAGGATAGGTCGGAGCAAGAGGACAGGAGGAGGAGGAACTGGAGGAGGCGGAGGAGGAGGAGGGAGGAGGAGGAGGAGGAGGAGAAGTAGGAGAAGTAGAAGTGCGGCGAGGGCAAGGGGGAGGATGGGGAGCGGAGATGAGGAGGAGATAGGGAGAGGGGGAGGAGGAGGAGGAGGAGGAGGAGGAGGAGGAGGAGAGGAGGAGGAGGAGGAGAAGGAGGAGGAGGAGGAAGAGGAGGAGAGGAGGAGGAGAGGAGGGGAGGAGGAGGAGGAGGAGGAGAGGAGGGGCGCGATGACCGTGAGGGAAGGGAGGACGAGGAAAACGTTGAGGGAGACGAGAGGAGGAGGAGGAGGAGGAGGAGGAGGAAGAGGAGGAATAGTATCCCCCCCCTCCCCTCTCGTCCTACTCCCCCTCCTCCTCCAGTTCCTCCTCCTCCTCCTCCTCCTCCTGCTCTCCCTCTCCTCCTGGGCACTGCCCTCCGACAGGAACACCATAACTTTACTATCTTCGGTGGCTTCCACGAAATAATTTGTGGGTCGAGGGGGAGGACGAGGAGGAGGATGAGGATGCGGATGAGGACGATGAGGAGGAGGAGGAGGAGGAGGAGGAGGAGGAGGAGGAGGAGGAGAGGAGGAGGAGGAGGGGGAGGAGGGAGAGGAGGGGAGGGGGAGGGCGAGGGGGAGGAGGAGGAGGAGGAGGAGGAGATAGGAGAGGAGGAAGGAGGAGAGGAGGAGAGGAGGAGGAGGAGGAGGAGGAGGAGGACGAGGAGGAGGAGGAGGAGGAGGAGGAGGGGAGATGGGAGGAGGAGGAGAGGAGGGTGGGGGAGGAGGAGGAGGAGGAGGAGGAGGAAGAGGAGGAGGATAGGGATTGTAATATGTCTAATTGCCCTCGGCCCATCCCGCCAAGTTGCCTGGGCTGTGTTCAGAGGTAACCGTAGTTCCGCCCGAGGCCCTGGCGGCCCTCGGCCGCAGCCAGGAAGATGGGGATAGGGGCAACATGGGGGATGGAGGAGGAAGTGGAGGAGGACTAGGAGCAGGAGCAGGAGGAGGAGGAGGAGGAGGAGGAGGAGGAGGAGGAGGAGGCGGAGGAGGAGGACGACGACGCCGACGACTAGGAGGGCGAGGCGGATGATGAGGAGGAAGATGAGGATGAGGATGTTGATGATGATGAGGAGGAGGATGAGGATGAGGAAGAGCAAGAGGAGGAGGAATATGAGGAGAAGGAGGGGGGAAGATGGGGAGGATGTATGGTGATGATGACGTAACTGCGGATGATGATGACGTGTATGCTGTTGATGGCGACGGTGATGATGATGATGATGTTGATGTTGATGATAATGATGATGATGCTGGTGATGATAACGACGCTGATTCTGACGACGATGCCGCTGGTGGTGGTGGTGATTCTGACACATGCTGATACTGGCGACGGTGCTGCGGATGAAGAATAATAGGAGGCGAACGATACTAATGATGCGCATGATGAGGACAGGGGGAGGGGGAGGATAATGATGAGGAGGAGGGGGATGAGGAGGAGGAGGAGGATGCGGAGGAGGAGGAGGACATTTCGGAGGAGGACGAGGAGGAGGAGGAGGAGGAGGAGGAGGAGGAGGAGGGCGGAGGAGGAGGGAGGAGGAGTCGGAGGAAAGGAGCGGATGAGGATGAGGATGAGGAGGAGGAGGAGATGAGGAGAGGAGGAGGAGGAGGAGGAGGAGGAGGAGGAGGAGGAGGAGGAGGTAAGGAGGGGGGGGGAGAGGGGGGAGGAGGAGGGGGGAGGAGGAGGAGGGAGGAGGAGGAGGAGGAGGAGGAGGAGGAGTGAGGAGGAAGGAGGAGGAGGAGGAGGGAGGAAGGAGGAGGAGGAGGAGGAGGAGGAGAGGAGGAGGAGGAGGAGGAGGAGGAGGAGCCCATCATATCGGGAAACCCACATTTCTACTATAAATATATACTGTTGTTCGCCATTCTCCGATCAGCATCGGCGCTGCACTTGGCCCTGCCGTCGGCGTCGTCAGCGACGCCACCATAGCATCGCACCTGTCACCCTCACGCCTGCCGTTGCCGACGTCGCCACGATACCGCGCCCGCCCAGACTACGCGCTCGCGCTGCACTGCCCCCGCGTCCGCGCGGCACGCGAGACGCGCTGGGCAGCCCCGAGTGATCCGCGCCACCGTGGCCGCGTCGGTCGCGCCCCGGGCGAGCCGGCGGCTCTGCGCGCGGGCCTGCGCGCGCCGGCACGGCCGCGGCGGCGCACCGGCCAGCGCTGAGCAGGCACCACAGTGGCCACCGCATGGGTTCTGCCGGCCAAGGTGCGGGTGGGTGAGTGGGATGATTGCGCGAGCAGTGGAGTTGGCAACGTACTACTGAGCACTGGCTCCTTGCAACAAGTAGATTGCACAGACTCTATGTGTACGTTGCATTGCTCCACACAGGGAGCATCACGCATACTGGTAGGAGCACCATGTGCGGAGCCCAGGCTGGCTAACATGGCGATAGAATTGCAAGATGAGGTCGGAAGATCAATATTTCAGGATTTGAACTCCCCTTGTCCTGAACTGAAGTGGTACTATCAACTCATTGAATGCTGTGTTGGCTGGCGGCGGGCTTCAACCCAACCAGTTGAACTTCGATATTTACCCCGTCTTCCTGCGTTGCGTCCACTTGTTGAACAGAACACTGCTCGCGGGTCGGTTCCCCCTGGTTACTCCACCCGCGTCCTCTCCTCCTCCGCCTCTTCCTTCGTGCCTCCTTCCTCCTACCTCCTGCCTCCTGTTTTTTCTATTGGGGGGCTGCCACTTGCCCAACTGACGCCACTTTTCGCGGGCTTCTAGGAAGTCCCGAGCAGTTGTGTCTCACGACAATTTAAACTAGACCTCGCGGCTCTTTGTGGGCTGCCACGCGCACATGTGTCGCCAAATCCGCGAGCACCTGGGAGGTCCAGCGGAGTTGGGTCACACGCACATCCGCACTAGATCTGGCGCTTCCTTTGGGGACCACCACCACCTGCGCGTCTGAGAAGTCCCGCGGGGTGG